TTTTTTAAAAATATCATCTTTATACAAATTGTTTTTTTGAGTAGGTTATATCTAAATACTAATAACTATTTAACTAGGTAGGTACCTATACTATTAATAAGTTGTCAGCAGTGTGCACTATTTTCTCTCTCTCTCTCTCGGATCTGAGAGCAACAGTTTTGATTTTATCAGAACCTGCAGTCAGGTTACCATTAATATTATAGCGCATTGACATAATGACATAATATTATAATATTAAATATTAATTTTATGCACCAAACTATGAAAGTTAAGAACAGACAGGTATTTGTATCTATGTTTGTAATGTTTTATGTTGGCTTTTTTTTTTGTTCCTATCAGTTCCTGTATCGCACCAAAAAAGCAGCAATTTGGTTTGCTTTGACATTAACATACCAATATTGACTAATCAATAATTCACATGAAAACGTATTATTAATCTGATCAATAAATAATAAAAACAAAAAATAAGATATTTGTTTTGTTTTCATTTTATTTTTTTTGACAATAGTACAAATTTTGATAATAATATAATTTATACACCACGATTCTTAAGAATATCAAACCAATTAAAAAAAAAAAATCATTTTATTTAAAAGTACAATTTGTTTATGATTTATAACAGTATAAGTACTTTGAAATATAATATAGTTTTTAAGTTATAATATATTTTAATATCGTTGATTAGGTTTCATTAAATTCACATTCAATTTATATAATAAATATAAATTGTAAATCATATTTTATATACGTAACAATTAATCACAACTTCACGTGTCAGACATATATAGGTAGGTAGGTACTAAATCACTTCTATGTAGGCAAATAGGTATTCAATCTGGTCATTTAAGTTATATATTATGGTAGGTAGTTATATGGTAAAATACAAAAAGAAAAATTCGATAAAATTTCTGTTTTTAATTGTATGTAATGTAATAGTGTATAATGTAATATTTTATTAAATACTGGGCAGTTACATTAATATATTACATTTCGGCTGAATCTGAAAATGTAAAAATTCAAAATTGTTCAGGGCAGTTGTTAGGAGTTATAAGGGCATCTAAGATAATGATAAACGTTTTTAAATTTATATTCCATTATTTAAAATAACCTTGGTACACATTGCCCTTCTCTTATTAAAGCTGCTTTGTACAAGAGTTAAATTATAAAAAAAAGTTTCTTTGTCACCTTGGACAATCCCTTGTAGCTAATATAATAAGTACTTGTCGACCCATTTTTTGGTCCCTGCTTTTAGGAACATATTTATGTACAGGCCTAAAACATAAAGAAATTACCCCATATTGGTTTTACCCCCAAAGCTGACACTTTTTATACATGAGATCATTCCTTCAAGTGTGTTTATGTTATTCCTACTATAAAATTCATCGGTAACGAGGTTAGGCGGCAACCAATAATAGAAAACACTACCATGGAAAACTTCAACCCGAATATCTTATTATACGTTTATTTACAGATGGTAATTTATATTATGAATAGGTACCTATTACCTACACTAAAAAATATGTTTCATTAAAAATCTGAAAACTTGATCGTAAAAATTGACTTTTGTCGATCTTTATATTTATATATTATATATACAATATACAGGGTGATCCACCAGGCACGCTTATTCCTATTTTTCCTTAAACAATGAATTAATCAAAATATTCCGATTTTTGGGTGTTTTTAAGTACCTATGTTTAAGGACAATATTTTAAACTATTTAGATTTGTTATAAGTATCATTCAGGAGTGCTCTGCTACGTACCTAAAATTTTCAAAACGTCATTGCAGACCTAACCCATTATTGCAAGGATCTACGGTAGGTAATTATAGTAACTAGCTATAGTAGTTAATAGGTACACAAAGTTAAAAATAACTCAAAAAATATGTGTTAAATTTTCGATTTTGATACATCTACAATTTCAAATATGTTATCTGCTTGGATATATGCCTGAATGTATAGGAAAAATAGTAATTTTTCATTTTTCATTTGAAATAAATAAGTTGTTTTCCCCACAGCGGATATTCGTTAAATAATACCTACGAAAATATATTTGGTCTATATAGTATAAATAAATACCTATATAATTCTTTATCAAAAAAAAAAACATGGGGGTGAGCATGCTTGGCGAATCACCTTACATATTATGAATATGTGTACCTATAAATGTTTGTAAGGTGTTACATTTATTTCCAAAATCTTTTAAATCGTTCATTAAAACCAGAAATATTTAGGACTTTTCATTAGGTAGAGTTCAGTACAATGAATAGAAAATTATAAGCTTCACAAAAATATACACAAATTAATCATCAAATGGTTTTGTTTGCAAACATTATTCGTTTTTTTACAGGTAAAATGTTCTTATAAAATGCAGCATTGAAAATATTAAGGCCGTGTTAACCTATACCGATTGTTATTATCTCCCTGTACATTTTTCCCGAAAACTACTGAATATTTTGCAATTTTGTCAAAATCAAAATATCAGATATATTTTTTTAATTTAAATTTATAATCAATAGACTTGGTTTTTGAAAGAAACATGTTTTACTTCCTTCATCCCGTTTAAAAGCTAGTATACTTATAAACTAATATAATGTACAATTGTACAATATACTTATGCCGTTTGGCTATTTGACATTTCGTTACTTACATTGGCGTTAGAAACATTATAAGTTATAACCAATTACTTATGAAATAAAAACAATTAATATTGTAATACTATTTATTTTTTCCCTGCTGTCAGCGATGCCACTATTAAATAATACTATATAGTACACCTATATGATGGTTATTATTTATTTGGTAATTTAATAACAAATTTCCGCTACGTTAAATGTACACGTCACTAAATAATTCTGTATTATAATATGTATGATAATGTTAACATTGGTAAATCACGTTCATCGTGTCTGAATGTAAATTAATATTGAAGTGGATGTATTCTTAGCATAAAATGAAAAAATCTAATTTTTTAGTCAAGATATTCAAGTTACTGTATAAAAAAAAATTAATCAAAAAAAAAAAAAACTAAATCTCGTCCATTGTCTGACCGTACAAATTGGTAATAAATTACGTTAAATTATTAGTACTTGAACATACACCTAACATAATATTATATTAATTGGTATTATATCAACTTTGGCCTTTATGTATAATGATAATGATGATATCGAACACGTTCTCAAAGTATATTTTAGCTGAAATCGCGCCACGACTCTTCGAAGTCGAGCTTTTTGAATCGTCTTCCCTCCATTGACCTCTATGCCCCACTCGATGGTTATTGTTCGTATATATATTATTATTATTATTATTATTATTTTTATTATCTTTATTACTATATTAATGTATTATATTATTACTATTACTATCGTTATTATAATATGGATATGGGCCGACGAAAAGCGATACAAACAAATAGGTCGCACGCGTTTATATTATATAATAATCAGTGGCGTATTTAGGAGTTGACACACTTTTGGCATTAGCACTTTCTGATGATGATGATACTATCGCGCAATGCAACGATATTTTAGATGATACAATTTTATTTTTTTATTTTTTTTTTCAATCGTTTAAATATTATGGAATATGGTAGGTATTTATAAAGATGATTGTTCCTCACACCGCGGCAAATACCGAGAAAATAAAAATAAAATTATTAAAAAGAGACACGGGGACAAATTCGTCAGCTTCGTATTATAATATGTATGCGCCTCCGTACGTCTTACGCCACTGGTTTTCACGTCGTATATAGGTACATAAAATTTTCACCTACGAACATTATATAATAATATATAAACGTTAAAATATGTTATACGCGCGTGTGCCTATACGTAGGTATATATTAAATATTTTTTATAAAATAACACACTTGTGCCGGGATAACCATGTGGATCCCGCGAACAGTCTTAAAATCATTGTATTATTATATATTTTTTTTTTTAGTTTTTTTTTTTTTTTTTACTATAAGTTTTCGTACCTATTTTTTTATCTCGCGGCCCTGCGCACTCGCTCCCGCGCACCTCTCTCTGCTGCACACCCCACAGCCACCGCGGAATGCACTTTAGCGGTGACACGTCCTCCGCCGACAGTTTTTCAACACACGACGTATACAGTTCGAGGTTACCCCGTCGTAATAACGAGGATAAGTATTATAGGTGTATAGTTTATACGCGCAAGGTAACCCGTAACGTAACCTATAACAATATATGGCAAAATACGATTAAGCACGCTTTTATTTTCAAGCCATACTTTGTAAGTGTTATATTATGTGTACGATTGAACACGCATGATTTTTTTATCTACCTATATAATATATTAAAAACGTTGCCGAAATTATTGAAACGAAAATCGTGGGCGATGGCTCGAACACTCGACGGAAACATGCAGATATTCTTTGAATTTTTAAATTCTTTGATTTAAATCTAGATGGCAATCGACGCGCTTAGGCTTAACCACCGCGGCCAACTCCTCCGGCTAACTTTGGAGGCGAGTGAACAATCGTTATTACCTTTTCCATTCGTCAATAATATTACTGTAGCACTTTTAAAATATTGAATTTCAATTTGCTGAAAATTTGCTCAAAAATTCAGAAATAATAATTTAGAACTATTCTGTCTTGCGACATATTATATTATGGTTCGATATTTTATTATGTTGTGCATCGGTCATTTTTAAAAAATTTAATAATATGGCAACGGAGTTAAATCACGAAATCGTACTCAATCATGTTTGGTTTTCCCCAATTTCGGCAGCTATATATAGTCCGTCGATGTAGGTGCAATAAACAAATCAACTAGTGCTCAATCGTACGATATGCCTAGCACGTTTGCGGCGGCGATGGGTCGAGGGGGGCCGCGTGACGAGAAAAAAAAACCCGAAAACGAAAGTGTATATAATAGTATATAAAAGTTATATAATATTATATATAAACATAATATGCGGTGATCGCGGCGCTATATGTATATACGGCCGCCGACCGGTCATGGCGGCGGTCATCATCACGCGCGGAAGTGCGGTGGCTGCCTGCGGGTGTTCCACTTGCACTTGAGTATCCGCACGTAGGTCATGCGGAACGTGGCGTTGCACAGGGCGTAGCACACCGGGTTGATGGTGCTGTTGATGTAGCACAGGTAATAGAAAAAGTCCCACATGCCCTGCGTCACCCACTCCTTGTTGCTGTCGGCCTGGTTTCCGCCGGCGTCGTCGCCCCCGGTGGCCGCCGTGAACGGTTTCAGCAGCACTAGTATGTTGTACGGCGTCCACGTGATGATGAACGTCAGCAGTATGGCCGACAGCGTTTTGGCCGCCTTCCGCTCGCTCTTCTTCTCTTGGAACTTCTTCTTCTTCTTCTCCTTGGCCTGGAACGCGGCCCCCTGCGCCCGGGTCAGCTGCTTGGGCTGCACGATCTTCGCCGCGCTCAGCGGCAGCCGCATGTCCTGCGACGACGGCCGGCGCGACATTGGGCCGCCGCCCGCACCGTGCCGCCGCGACTCCTCGTAACACCCGTGATACTGCCTCACCGTCGGCGCGTCTTGGAGGTCGGTGTCGCCCGGCAACTTTATCACGATCGTGTACACCTGCACATATTATTATCGAACGTGGCACGAAAAAACCACGCGTTCGTATGATTAATATTATTATTATTATTGTGGTTGTTGCTATTTTAGTAGTAAGTAGGTAGTTGTTATTAAAGTGCCGATGCGTCCACTGACATTATTAAGACAATGATTTTTCTACAAAAAAATGACATTATAATAATACATACGGTTTGAGGGGGGAGGGGGAGAGATGATTTTGGAATAAATTTGAATAAAAAAAGTACTGAAAATAATAGATCATTATTGTTGTTTTTAGTATATTCTCCAATTAAAGCGTTATACGAACCTTTCTCATATAATATTATATAAATATGTGTTTCGACGTTTTAAATGAGATTTACATAGGTATAATATTTTACAACGATACATGTATATATATATATATATGTGTGTGTGTGTGTGGCTTGGTGTGGCGCGAATCCGTACACTCAACTGCAGAAACGCTCTGAGTGTAAGTATCGGCCGGTGTTGCTAGCTCCCGGATGGGTGACCACCAGGGATTTTTAGCAACAAATCCTTGCCACACATACAAACGGCCAACCAACCGTTCTTCCCCCCTACAATCGACCTACAAACAAAAAACAGCTAATGCCCATAGTTGCCGGGCTTAAGCTCAAAAATAAAAAAAAACAAAAAAGATACACGTATATGAACAATTGAATAGTATTGATATCTAAGAGATCGAGTGTAACAGAAAAAAATTAAACTCCGTTTATTATATTATGTAACTTATTAAGTAGGTATACACCTACGATAACAAAAATAATTTTAAAAGGAGGAAAACATTTCTATAGATGTATTATTGTTGTTCAACGTTCGTCCTACTCGAAAATGCCTTGTAGTGCAATTATAATTCATATCTAAAAATATTAGGTATTTGGTATACCCTACACCTTAATTGGCCATGTTTGTTTATACATTTACTTATCAGATTAAATTATGAATTGCGAATACGGGAGCTATAAAGTATTACGAAATAAATAACAATTGAATAATCTAATAGAAAACTAATGACGTTATGTTATGTAATATGACCTTATAAAAATTACGCACAATATCGACGTAAACGCAATGCAAATATTTTAGAACTTTAATTTTTCATAAACTTAAAAAGACATCAGGTCCTGGGTGACATCACGTAGGTGGGTAGGTTATTATAGATTTTGTTATTCGACATGAAATTGGATGAAAATGGCTTTTGTATACACTTTGAATTAATGCTAATAGATAAAACAAAACCAACACATAATATATTATTGTTATTGACTTATATTGTTTAATTGTTAATGACATTTTATATTATATTATGTACACCCGAGCATTTTTATTTTTTTTTAAATTTTTATTGGACGTTTTATTCGTCATTTTAAAGTCATAAATAATCATATTTTTGGCTTTTTAAAATCCGCTCATAAAATAATATCAGTAAATATGTTATACTTATATGATTAGAATACGGATTTTGATGGCTTTTGCTTGTTTTTTTATACCTGTTCAAAACTAATATTATTAAACGAATTGTGATTCGTACAACGTAGAATAAATATTCAACACTTCAGTTTACTTACTAATTATTAAAAAAAAAAAAAGTACTAATAGTATTTTTATTTCTAAATAAGTAAATTGATAAAAATATTGAAATAAAATCGAAATCGAAAATAAATAAATAATATTTTGTTTGTATAGTACTTACATCGGAATTATATCGTTTTTATTTCAAATATATATCATTATAAATTGAAATATTGAAATAAATATCTAGTCACTACATATTATATTATAAAAAAAAAATTAGGTAAGTACAACAGTTTTGTGAAACCAACAGTCTCATTGGTATAACTACAAAAATAATAAATAATAAAAAATATCAAAAACCTAATTTTAATATTTTATAGTTATAGTAACCTATTTTCAGGGTTTCTTTGTTTTATTTAAATTGCTTTTTCAATAGGTTTTTAGTGCCTCAAAAAATATCAAAATCCGCAATCACTTATGACGAATTAGTGGCGTACTTACCGAATCATTGGACAAGGACCGGTTGGTCAGCCGGTTGTTATTGTTGACCACGTGATAGGATTTCATCGGCGTGGGCGTCGTGGGCTGCTGCTGATGTATGACGTTCAGAGACGTCGACCTGGACACGGTCGTACCGTAGCTAATGCCACCAGGCACGTCACTTGGCGTCTGGTCATCTTCCTCGTCGTACTCGTCGTCGCGGCCTGAGTGCCACCAGTCCACGCACCAATCGCGCAGCCACGACCACGTCAGCAGGCGTCTCGCTTTCTAAAACAATACCCGATCGCCGTTATGGTTGGTTATGTGGTTAAGGCGTATGCGGGGTAGGGTAGGGCTGGTAGGGGGTAAGTATTAAGAGTGGGTGGAGAATAATCTGACGGTCAAAGCTGTTGTCAAAAAATGCACCGTGAAAAAGACAAAAAAAATTTAGTAAATCTGAATAATATAATAGGTATGTATTAATACATAATATTATATAACTTATAAATCCTAAAGAAGTTATGTCAAAATACGTATTATTCGGTCACAGGCCAGAAATAATAACTCTTATCTACTGAAAATAATATATATTATATGTAGGTTGTAAAGGTATATTATATTACGGGTGGAATAATTGAAAATACTATGGAGGAAACAGAGGCAAAAATAATGGAGGGCCGAATCATCCTCGAAGAGGCTATTAAAAAATACGTGTAGGACTTAAAATATATTTTTATTATTCTAAACCGAGCGTCGGTGCACGCAAACATCACTATATTGGCAACTGGCAAAACCAGCTCGCGTGGTTTCAACAGCGGTGACGCGAACTTCAGTGTTCGCTAAACAAACCATTTTTTTTTCCTAAGACCACTCACATAGTTTCCATGCACTTATTTATTCCTTTCAGTTTTCTATCTTCGATAGAATTACTCTCTGCCATAAAATATTTACTTAATATCTTATAGAATATATATAGAATCAAAATTGAAATTCAAATACAGTAATATAAAATCACACTATACTGCATATGATAACTTAAAGAAAATAGCCTCACAAATCCACTCATAAAACCTCTTCCTCTGCCACGGCTGCTTAAGTAAGTCGCGTTATATCTGTTATCGGCCGTCGAATATTATATATTTTTTTTTTCGAAGAATATATTATGTTATAAATTTTCATATTACGAGTTGACTACTGTTCACGAAGAACGTATTATAAATAAAATACAAATTTATTTATGTTTTCTGACATTACAGGGATCCTTTTGCCGAGAAAACGATTATTATCACGGTCCCTGTGGGAATTCGTTAGGTTTCCGTTCCCGGACTAAGCCACCGGGTCGGTCCAGGAGGAATGCACGCGGTCAATACGCGCGCTCTAGGGTCGGACTATATGCTCCGTATATAGACTCGCCGTCTCGGGAGTTGCTCGCATTCGACGACTTACAAAAACGAATTATTTCGGGCTGCTCCCGGGAACGACTAATCGGAAGTATAAACTTCCTTTTAACGGAGAGACATAATATAGATGCTCTGTAACTATAATTTGATGATATACCTACGTATTTTTATGGCCATTGTGCTTTCTTGGTTATTTCTTGATGTAATTTTTTTTTCATCTAATGATATTATAATAATTTAACGTTATACGTCATTTCTATTTTATATATCTGTCTCGACATTTTCCCAATATTAATAATAATAATAATAATAACAATAATTTAATTTTTAAGACGTTTTATGTGAAATCGTTTTAAAAATATTATAAAATGTACTGAAAGAAAATATTGATTTATCATTAGCTTTTTAACTTTTCGTTAAGTACCTATTAAAATAAATAAAATACCCACGCGTAAACGAGTGCACCTAATATAATATAAAATATTATACTGTTATTTTTAACACAGAGGTATTGGCTTATTTTTTATTGATATTAAATTCGTTAGTTTATAAATACCAATGAACACTGAGAGTACGCCTTGCGCAACGAACTGGTCTCATACATTTCTCGTCGATCCAACGAATTTACTTGATTCGACTCGGACCGTATGCGACCCCACGATTCCTCGTGTTGGTGATCGCTAAAAATTCCGGAAACACAGAGTATTAAATTATCATTAGTAATTACTCAGGAAAACGATTTTCGGTGTTGTTTTCTACGTTCTTACTTGTGTGGTTTGTTCATGGCTTGCAGATTCGGCAAGTCTTTTTGTCTCTTTTTTGTCTCTCTGTATATTCGGAAATACAGAAAACACATGACCGTTACCGGCACGTAAAAGGCGGCAATGGCCGTACCGAAAGTAATGTACTGATTGGTCAGTATGAACTGTATGTAACACTGAATTTCGGGCACGGTCCGACGACCTTCTATGATCGGCCACAGATATATCCAAGGTGGCCATAAGCCCAGTGAAATGATCCACGCGGCCGCTGAAAATAAAAATCATATATTGAGTATAATTGCTGTTATTGTACGAGTCGAGTGCACTTCAAAAGTCGCAGATAATATACGATGCAAAAATATTACATCATTATCGAGGTGCATTTTGACGAAGTTCTGTATATTAAACAGTTTTACGATACTAACGGAAAACCAATTTAACAGTTCATTAAAATCGTAGGTATAGCGCAAGTATAAATTAAATCTCAACAACGCGTCTTCACTTGATTAAAGATTGGTCCACTTAATGAACATTTTTTTTTTTTTATATTTATATATTATTCACATAAATATAAAATAAATTATAGGTACCTAAATTGAGTGATAATAATTATTTCTTTGATTATTCTTAACTCATTTATCGACCCAATATATATACTAGAATATTACAAGTTGTAATTTACAACACTGCGCAACAGCCATTAGAGTAGGTATTAGACAAATAAAAAAAAATTAAGAAAATGGAGAGACATTTATACAATAATACATTATTTTTCATTTAATAAATGAATATTTTTCTCGTCGAATATAATAATTTAAAATGCGAATATGCTGATGTTTGCATCGACAATCGATTCGCTGCTATTGAATTAAACAAACTTTATAGAAACTGCTGCAACAACTAAATCACAATTATTTGGTCATACTACAATCTGTATCAGCATTTAGGATGTTAGTATGTCATTTTTATACTTCTCAATCTCCGTAGTATTTAACTGCAATTATACGAAACAGGCCGCGTGTATTTCAGAAATTTAGAATTTGGGACATACAAATATGGACATTTCATATTAGTAATGTAGAAAAGCATAGCAGATAAAAAGACACCTAGACAATACTATACAAATAGCCAATAGGTACTACCTAGGTAGAAACTTTTTGATAACTACATTATACTTTATTATTTTCATGACTTGGCTACCTTAATCCAACATACATACCAATAATTATCATATTTTAACGTGTTGTTCATCAACAATAAATTAGTAAATATTTCATAAAATATAAACAAATATATTTATTAATATTTTTACTCTGCTATTATTCAGAATATTCTTTTGAAAAGTTTACAAATTAAATAATAAAATTTTAAAATATGTTTGTGCTTATTTCTACGAATTTATTGCAAACGATTATAATACTGGTTGCATTTAGTATAAATGAATATTTGAACTTTTTCAGTGCTTTATAAAATTTTTATTATACTCCGAACCGTGATAATAATATATGGCTGTTCGCGACTGCCTATCAAACGCTGTACATTAATCAATATTTAATAACGACATCTTCATCACGGTCCGTAATCCGACTGGCTGCATTATAATATATATTATGTACTACCCTGTGTAGGATATTGTCATACATAGCAGTCTACCCTTTACTCGGCACGACTGTCAAATCATCTGATATAGTCGTTCGTATAAGTACCTATGTGTATAATACGCGAATTCGACAACACTTGTTGGCAAGGATTAGTGACAACGCCCGTAGTAGTAACCCACACAATATTATTTACAATTTACATTGTTCGAGCGGGACCCATATTATATTATTACTAGATTCTGGCGTTTGTCATCCCGCCTGCGGCGGAAAGACTGTGTTGGCGGTAGTGCATCTTTGTCGGCGATGCTGGGTTTTTTGATCCGGCCTGCGGCGGGAATAGGGGGGTCGTCGGGTATTGTGTTTTGTCGTGTTGGCACCACTGGTTAAGCGGTAATTTTTGAACTCGGAAGAGTGTCTAGTCGTAAGTCACTCGATTCAAGTCGATCGTACCACACAACCAGCCAGGTAGGCAATCCGACTACGTCGGATCGCAGACCATGCCCCGGGCGTGTATGTCCGGTTTTCGTATGTGTGTTGAAATCGGAAATGTTGAAATCGAAAATTCGGGTTCTCTGAGTTTGAGTGTCTAGCTATCAGTCATCTCGGGTGAAAGTCGATTCCCCAGTGGGGGTGTAAGTCGCTCGTATGCAAGTAGCTAGTAAGGTAGGCAATCCGACTACGTCGGATGGCATACCATGCCCCGGGCGTGTATGTCCGGTTCTCGTATGTGTGTTGAAATCGGAAATTCGGGTTCTCTGAGTTTGAGTGTCTAGCTATCAGTCATCTCGGGTAAAAGTCGATTCCCGAGTGTCGGTTGCAGTGGGGGTGTAAGTCGCTCGTATGCAAGTAGCTATTTAGGTAGGCAATCCGACTACGTCGGATCGTAGACCATGCACCGGGCGTGTATGTCCGGTTCTCGTATGTGTGTTGAAATCGGAAATTCGGGTTCTCTGAGTTTGAGTGTCTAGCTATCAGTCATCTCGGGTAAAAGTCGATTCCCGAGTGTCGGTTGCAGTGGGGGTGTAAGTCGCTCGTATGCAAGTAGCTATTTAGGTAGGCAATCCGACTACGTCGGATCGTAGACCATGCACCGGGCGTGTATGTCCGGTTCTGGAGTGTGTGTGTGTGTTGAAATCGGAAATTCGGATTCTGAGTTTGAGTGTCTAGCTATCAGTCATCTCGGGTGAAAGTCGATTCCCGAGTGTCGGATGCAGTGGGGGTGTAAGTCGCTCGTATGCAAGTAGCTAGTAAGGTAGGCAATCCGACTACGTCGGATCGCAGACCATGCACCGGGCGTGTATGTCCGATTCTCGTATGTGTGTTGAAATCGGAAATTCGGGTTCTGAGTTTGAGTGTCTAGCTATCGCCTATCAGTCATCTCGGGTGAAAGTCGATTCCCGAACGGACAATCCGCCTACAGCGAAAAGTGCTCGAAACGGCCGTTCAAATCTGATATACCTACCATGTATATTTATTTAATTATGAGAATTAAATCAAATTAACAAATAGATAATTATATTAGTGAATAACAAATTGTATTGAAATGTAATACTATCATATTAAACGTAGGTATGTATAAATGAATACACTATACAATTTTTTGGCACTTATCTTCGTAAGTACCTACTATCATAATATTTTGCTGTTATATTGAATGTCTGTATATAATATATGATGTACCTACCTACCAATTTATTAAATGTCATATGATGTTTTAAATTATTTAGTAATTATAATTGCATAATTATAATGGTGCATCATTGTGTTATGACTTATGTATTATGTGTATGAAAGTGTGTATGAAAAAATCGAACTTTTTGTCGCATATTTTCATTTCCGTATAAAGTAATAACAACACTGTCCGCTCCCCGATCTCCTCCGCGGAACTCGACTCGAGCGAAGTACTGACGACGGCGGCTTATAAATTTAGCGGGGAATGCCAATAACATCCAAACAGGCAGGGTAATACCACTAAAACGGGCCAAGAAACGAATTTTAGAAAAAAACAGCAAAAAATGACGCGACGCATGTATTTATTGCTGTATATAGCGATACTTACACGGTACCTACTCCCTTTTCCGCGACGCCGCTCTTTCCCGGGACTCGTCTGTGAAAAAGTTGGGCCGCGCACCGGCTATAAATTTAGCGGGGAACGCGAATAAGATTCAAACGGGGAGGGTAATACGACCAAAAGGAGCTAAAACTCAAATTTTTGAAAAAAAAAGAAATCGAACTCTTCGTCGCATAATATATTCACGCCCATGTATAGTAATAAAGACACTGTCCGCTCTGCTAAATCATTTGACGGGGAACGCGAGTAAGTCTTCAACGGGGAGGTCCGAAGTCAGTAGAGGCGTTAAAACTCGAATTTTGAAAAAAATCGGAACATTTACGTTAAAAATGATAAGACGGAAGTGATAGCGAACGACGAAAAAAAAATTAATTTATCACGGCCGCCGCAAATTATCGTATATTCCCGGGGGCCGGGGGGTTTGAACCCACGACCCTCGAGTCACCTGTTCTAACGCCTAACCTACCTAACTACCTACTGAGATGAAAACCTGAGTCAAATCTATGACTCTTAACTCTTAAGCCGCGTTGCCGTCCCCGCGAAAGGCGAACGCCGTTTAGAAGAGGTTCAAAGGGAGTTTGAGCGGACGACCGTCGCGAGATTCGCGAAGAAAATCGAACCTCGAGACGCATGTATTTATGCCTGTATATAGCGATACCATACACGGTACCTACTCTCGTTTAAGCGACGCCGCTCCTTGCCGGGACTCGTTTTTGAAAAAGTAGGGCCTCGCGCCGGTTATAAATTTAGCGGGGAACGCGAATAAGATCCAAACGGGGAGGGCGATACGACCGAAAGGGGATAAAACTCGAATTTTTTAAAAAAATACGGCAAAAAACACGCGCGACGGCGGCGCTCGTATCGCACGCGATATCTGCCGCCGCGGGCCGGCCGGGAATTAAGTAGGACAGCGCGCCGTCTATAAATTTACCGAGGAACGCGAATAAGGTCCAAACGGGACCTCCCGAGGCACCCGAGGGGGGTAAACCTCAAAAATGTTGAAAAAAAATTGTGAAAAATGGTCAAAACCGTGAAAAGTGATAAGGAGGAAAGATAACGCAGTGACGGCTCCCCAAAAAACGCCTCGACGCATGTATATTTTATGCCTGTATATAGCGATACCTACACGGTACCTACTCTCGTTTCCGCGACGCCTCTCCTCCCCGGGACTCGTCTGTGGAAAAGTAGGGCCGCACGCCGGCTATAAATTTAGCGGGGAACTCGAATAAGTCGTCGACGGGGAGGGTGATACGACCGAAAGGGGCTGAAACTCGAATTTTCGAAAAAAACGGCAAATGGAGCAGTCATATAGTCGTACTATTTTTTAATATAGTTTATTAATATCGTATTAAACAGTATTTATAATCTGTAGCAATATTTAACCCAATCGGAATCACCTAAAAACTGTAATATATCAAGTAGGTACTACATTAGTACATTACAATTATATTGTAGGTTGGTCACGGTAAAATCAAGTATTAATTAAATGTTAATTATTATTTTTTTGCAAAATAAATATATATAAATACCGATATATATAATATTTTAATAACGCGAATTTTGAAAAAAATCTGAACACATGATTAATGTGACCAA